AACCCCATTTCATTTCATTTATTTTTTAATTGCCCGTGGCTAGTGGCAGCTGGCATAGTTTTTAAAGCCTTGATATTAGTGCTATATGTTTTAATTGCCCGTGGCTAGTGGCAGCTGGCATTGTTTCTAAAGCCTTGATATTAGTGCTATATGTTTTAATTGCCCGTGGCTAGTGGCAGCTGGCATTGTTTCTAAAGCCTTGATATTAGTGCTATATGTTTTAATTGCCCGTGGCTAGTGGCAGCTGGCATTGTTTCTAAAGCCTTGATATTAGTGCTATATGTTTTAATTGCCCGTGGCTAGTGGCAGCTGGCATAGTTTATAAAGCCTTGATATTAGTGCTATATGTTTTAATTGCCCGTGGCTAATATCAGCTGACTTGGTTTTTGGTAATATACCCCACGATGAAACGGATCTCGAAATATATCGGTAATTGTACTGATAACAAGTCTTAGCCGTGCAAATATGTTTAAAATACAGTTACGTGGCTACACGAAAAGGCGTGGTGGAGGGGGGGGGGGCGGATGGCCGAATGGTTAGCACGTGCAGGCTTTATCATAAGGTCTGTCATTGAGTCAGTTGGCGTGGTTTCGATTCCCCGGTTGTACGTGACAAGGAGTAGTGTCGCCTGTCCAACCTCGTGGGTTTTCTCTGGGTCCTCCGGATTCATCCCACTGCTAAAGAGTCCTACGCGCAAGCGAATTATTGAAATAAATTTGAACCATGTGTTAGTCCCGAAATGACCTAGTCTGTGTCGAGTGGACGTTAAACCCCATTTCTCTCTTTCTCTCGCTTATCCAGGTTAGAGTACAACGAGCCGGTATCACGATGGTCTTATACCAACCTAGTGGTAAAACCCACTAGGGCTCTTGTAGTAATAATTGTTTGTGATCCTATTTCGTTTCGTTTCTTATAGTTCAAAATTTCGTTTTACTTCCTTTTACACTAAGATCTGGAAGAGTTGTTATATGAGAGTGCTGGTTGATGTGCGGTGTTAGGCAATTAAACGGTTTGTTGTGGCGTTTCTTGGTGTCGGTGCACGGAACTGTGGGTAGACATTCGCAGCGAAGACAAAAGGTTGTATTTCCAAATACCCACTTGAAACATTAACGCTGATTTGTCAATCAAATGTCTGACGTCATAGGTCAAAAGTCGCTCATATGATCCCTGACGCGACCTCCCACTACAACCGGTCAGATCTTCATGTGGTGGAGACTATCGAAAGTATAACAAAAAAAACGAAACGATTTAATCAGATTTGCAGCAACCGGGACCATGGAGACAGTATATACCCCATAGGGACATTTGGCCCGACAGCGCCACTACCGCCTACTCTTATTTCCATGTCCAATTGTCAGAGGATCTTGAAGAAGCTGTCAAGGGTGCACACGAAACATCAATTCTTCGTATCATCCGTCGCTACTGACAACGGGAAACCGAGGAACGTCCTCGGCCAACACTAGAATCGCACCTGTAATCTTAAGGCTAGTGAACCATACGCACATGACTCCCCACTGTGCTCTTGGTGTATATGTAACGTCCATGACGTCAAACTAGTAAACATCTGACGTCTGTGACTAGGAAACATGTAAATAAACGTGTTGCTATTGGTAACTCGACATCCTGTAACCTGCTCTTTATACAGGCGATAGCCACATAAACTGGCTTCATTGCTCTTAATCCGACTTTAAGTCTAGCTGTACAAGCTTCAATTATTCTAATCTGCCGTAAATAACAATTACCTACCGTAAATGTTAACCTGTTATTTGTCGCACAATAATGTTTGCTTTAATAGGTAATTCCAATGTAACAGCTCGGCTTTATCATTATAAACAATGGTTGAACGCTTTCAATAATAACTTACACATTCTTTTAGTCAGGGCATTTTTTATTTTTTGTCTCGAGGATAATGTCGTCATTATTCTCCCTTGTTGTGTCACATTATCGTAAAACTGCTGTACCGGAAGTAACGTTGGAATAAACATGGCGGCTCTTTGAATAACAATAATGACATGCGATCTAAAATAGTTGTCATTATTCAAGACATAATTAAGTTAAACGATTATGTTTGTAACGATTACCTTCCTTTTTTCCAGTGTATATTAGGAACAAATCAATTGAAGATATAACACTATGTCCGGTTTCCAAAAATAAAAACAAACTAGAACTGCGAAGCAGTAATGACGGGTTTCACCGGTGCCACGTTACCCTTGAACTTATGTCACTTCCGGTACCAATGAAACCGTTAAACAGGTTTCCACATAAGCATTGCACACATGAAATAAAATGGACGCAGAAACAACCAAATCCAGCAATCAATTCATTTGCTACATGTCAGTGATCCTGTCAAAATTACATTACTTCCGGTGATAATGAAAATGTTAAATTGGTTTATGAAATCAGAAATAGCATCATCACATGTTGAAAATTTTATGTAAATCCTATAATAATTGCCACCTTTATAGACCAAAAACCTTGAAAAATGACTTGTAGAAAATCGCCTATTTCTCTGCAACCGTACAAGTTAGAAACCATTTTGAGGTATCTGTATGATCGAATGAGTTCATTCTATTTGTTGATTGGAATCAAATATCATAATTTTAAAAACATTACAAATCTGATTCATTTGAATAAAATATCTGTTTTGAAGGCTAAAAATACAGTTTTTGCCAAAATGACGTTACTTCCGGTGATAATGAAAATCTTAAATTACTTGTATGATATCGTAAATGGCATTATGTATCACACAGTGAAAATTTCATGAAAATCGAATAATAATTGACACTTTTTTTGACAAAAAAACCTTAAAAAGTGACCTGTTGAAAATTGCCTATTTCTCCGCAACTGAACAAGTTAGAAACCATTTTGTGATATCTATATGATCGTAAGGGTTCATTGTATTAGTTGATTTGAATCAAATATCAAAATTTTAAACAAATAACAAATATGACTCATTTGAATAAATTACTGGTTTCGAAGGCTATAAATACAATTTTTGCCCAAATTACGTCATTTCCGGTGATATTGAAAATGTTAAATTGGTTTGACCTAGTTAAAATTGACATTACACATCAAATGGTGTCACTTTTATGAAAATCGAATAATAATTGACTCTTTTACAGGCAAACTAGCGTAAAAAGTGACTCATGCAAAATTGCCCATTTCTCGGCAACTGCGCATATTACAAATTAATTTTCACATACATTCTCTCCGTATAGATTATTGCTACGAGTTTATGAAAGTTACGAAGTAATATTTTAAAATATGAAAACGCTGAATGGGTTGTAAATAGCTTAATTTTACACCTTTTTTCACCTTTTAATCGAAATAGCCCGAAAACGGAATCGAAATTAAAAAAAATGGTCCCAACATTTTGTGCGCCTTTAAAGGGCGCACAATTTCAGTTATACCAGATTTGAACAAAATAATATTTGCTTTCGAAAAATGGTACCTAACTGTCAAAATTGTAGTTTTTTGTCAATTTACGCCACTTCCGGTGCCGACAGATAACACTATTGGTAACAAAAAAAATGACAATTGAGACAACGGGGCATATGAACTTTGTTTTATACAAATCGAACAATAAATAATTAATCTAGGACTGAAAAACTGAATTAGCCAATGGGGGCCAAGGAAAATTACCGAGACAAAAAATTTTCACATTTTTGCCAAAGTCAGAGGACTCGTTATATTTGTGTAAAACACGATTAAAAAATATTCATAAATAAAAAAGTTTTTTGTAAAAATTTAAATTTTCTAAATTTAGCGCCTAATATCTGCGAAGATTTGCCGAAAATCAAAAATCAAAAGTAGCGTAGCTATGTGCCCCGTCTCCGGCTATGCCAAAATGCATCGAAAGTTAAAATCCAATGATTATTGTTAAAATTACTGCAATATTTCTAAAAACGATAGCTTCGGTGATTTCGGACATTTCGCATTGTCGCAGAACGTTCAAAATAGCTTTATCCTCTAAGTCACACCCACTTTTCCGATAAAACCGAAGAAATCGTAACGATCCGACAATCAGTTGCTGAGATCTACTCAAAACAAAAGAAGAATAATAATAATAAGAATAATAATTTTAACAAAAACAATAGTGTTTCACACAAGCTACGCAGTGTGAAACCCTAATTATTATCTTTGATTACTAGGGGAAAGTCTGGCAAGAGGGGCCTTGTGCGAGTTAATTGTTTTCAACTGTTGGTGGTATTTTCAAGCAGTCAAGACATTTTTATTTTTCTGGTGATTTGGTTTTTTTGGGGAGGTTTTGAGGGGGGGGGGGAGACAAGGAGTATACTAATACTATGGTTTAAATAATTTGTCCGATGTCCAGTGTAATGCGATGGGTGGGTGGGGTGGGGGTGTTTTATTTGGGTGAATTGTTCCATGAAGAACACTTTTCTGTGATTCATTCTGATAATGATTCCAGGCTGTCCTAATTTCATGGCCAGCTCAGCAACACCCGGATGGACACCGGAACTCACTGTTTAGTGTGTCACTGTGGCGCCATACAATTGGTAATCTTATTCTTTGAGCGACGTTCTTCAATAAAAGTCTGTTATAGCTCCGTAAAATCGTACACAATTGACATGACTTTGACGTGCCATTCTCTCAAGCAGAGTTGTCTTCCCTTGCAGTTAATAGTGACCCATGCGCATTTTCTTTTTTTTTAACTGACGTGACAATTCTAAGATGACGTCGTGGTCGATTTGGGGTTCGCTCGTCCTCCTTAAAATGCCGCATTTGTCCTTTTAAAGGACAATGTATAGTCGTCCGGGTGGGACGAAAAACAGAAGTCTCATGTACACATTGACGTGCACATAAAAAGATCGATATAAGAATAGGCTTTAGTGCCGCTGTCCAGCCAAATATCCCACGAAGCACACTATATCGCATACGACCGTCTTCATTAGGCAAACCAGGGCAGAAAAGTAGGGCGTAAAACATCATTTCATTTCACTCCATTTTGTGTAATTCTTATATTTTTTTTTTATTTCCAGAAATAAGAGATCCGGTATTTGTGTTACAAACTGCCTCGGGCAACATGGAACAATTGCTGGATTAGTTCTTATTAACAGATGAACCCAACGCCTCTGTTCTACTTAAACAATTACACTTTGGTGAGTTAGTATTTACTTGAAAGAGTCGATCTAATATCAATGTAATGGGACCGTTTCCATGTAGTTTAATAGACAATTTACTACGTGAATGTTGTTCCATATTTCTCACTGCCAATATTGATGCCAAAACGTATTAACGTGACAAAATATAATAAACGATAGACAATCTATATGGAATGTACTTCAGAAACTTATTAAAACCACAACATTGTTATTAGTAAATGGCAAAGCTCTCACAAACGTATGTTTTAAGAAAGACATTTTTTTATTGTTTGATTTTTGGTGGTTTCTTTTTGTTGTTTTTCCAATATTGAAGTTAATAACGTGTCGCTTGTGTATTAAGAAAATATTTTTTATTGCAAAGATAAATATTATAAAAAGGGCCTTCAAAATTTAATTAAGCTAGTAATAGAGGGATATCAGAACATCATCTAGACAATATAATCACCTCGAAAACACTAAGATGATCCGCTGCGAAAAAATAAAATATAAAGTTAAAGTTAACCTCTGTTCAGAATCTGGATTGCAGTGGGTCAACGAACGTCAACGATACGTATATAATTAACACCAAATTTCATATGTTTTTAATTAAGTGAACTAATTAACTTTACTTTAATTAAGTGTAATAATTACCCAAGAAGATATATTTTTAATTTAGTGAACTAATTTCTACCAAGTACCGATATCGTTATCTAATTACCCCGAAGGACACCTACCCTTTATTACTCCCTAATAACGTAAATCTTTAATTAAGATATCTAATTAACCCTCTCCTCCCAATGGAGCTATGTATTTAAATAAGTTAACTAATTAGCCCCAAAAACATATATCTTTAATTTAACTAATTACCTCGAAGGAGATATATATTTAGTTACTAATTACCCCAAGGATGTAATTATAATTATTACACCCAAGGTAATAAGTAACCTTAGTAACCCTAAAGCAAACATGTATTTAATTAAGTAACCTGATTACCCTTTGCATATATATTTAATTAATGTCACCAATGGCAATATATCTTTAATTAAATGAAATAATTACCCCGAGAATATAATTACCCTTAAGAACCCCTACCCTTTAATTCAGTGAACTAGATAGATGGCTCCAAGGGTGTGTATATTTAGTAAAGTGGCCTCAATGACACGTGCTTTTAATAAAATTAACTAATTACACCAAACGAAATATATCTTTAATTAAGTAAATTAATTACCCCCAATAAAATATATCTTTAATTAAGCAAACTAATTACCCCCAAGAAAATATATCTTTAATTAAGCAAACTAATTACCCATAAGAAAATATATCTTAATTCAGTAAACTAATTACCTCGGAAGGAAATATTATCATTAAATAGTCAAGGTTGGCTTTTGTTATCAAAGGAACTATTGTTATAAAGGAATCGTTAAACTAAATATAGAAATCAATTTTTCACAACCCGATGAATATTATATTACCTTTACAGGTATTTTATAAAATTCAGCTTTGAAGTACCTGTAATTACCGTTAGTTGCTTTGCTACAAACAGGTAAGTCATTGATTAGTCATAACTCGCCATAACAGACAGTTTCATTGCCTAATCCATCACTTCATCAAAAACGCCGATGATATAACAACTCTTCTAGATCCTAGTGTATTAAGGATAAGTAAAAAAAGAAACGAAATAGGATCTGTGTTATAATCAGATTGTGGGTACACTGAAGGTGATCAAGTCGTTGAACGTGCAAGATTTAGATCATACGGTCTGTCATCCTTGTACCCGAGGAGTAGTGTCCCCTGTTAAACCTTATGGATTCTCCGATTTACTCCGACAGCTAATGACCCTTGCACGCAAGCGAATCACTACCCATATTGAAATAAATACTACTGTTAGATAACTCCATCTCTGACCAGGATTGTCCCGTCTGGATTCAGTTTGTCAGTGGTGCAGGGGGTATGGATTCAGCTTGGTAGTGTTGCAGGGGTGTGGGAGTGGTTTCGGCTTGTCAGTGGTGCAGATTCAGCTTGGTAGTGGTGCAGGGAATTTAACAAGGAAAAGCTCCCAGTCGTTCAAATAGCACTACAAAACACGAGGCCCGTTGTACACGTTGGTCTGCAGGTAAAAAAAACATTGGCTTTAGGAATTCGTAAAAGAGTTCGGACAAAATTATCCTTATGGCACACTACATGGGGTATACTTGTCTTCATTATCTTGATTGGAGCAGAAAAGTAGGACGTTTTAAACGTTAAGCCCATTTCATGTCAATTCCCAGTAAATAATTAAAAACAATCAATTTATCCGATTAGTTTATCATATTAAATTTTTACACAATAAAAGTAATCACATCTCGAGCATAATAGACGTCATTAATTTGTTGCTGGTTTTATGTTTGCTACAGATAGCTAAACACGAATTTGTCGCTTGAATAAATTTGTATAAAATTCTATTTCAGGTGGTACCAGTCTTCATCGATGTTGTTTGTCGTACCAAAGTTTGTGTTTTGTTCTATTAATTGCCAGGAATCTATTTGGGTGTGAATAAAGAGCTCCAATGAATGGCGGTTTTACAACTTATTGTTGCAACGCCGATGCGCATTTTATGGCGACATAACACATAAACATGTACATTTTATGGTGACGTTATACACATAAAAACTGTTTGCGTCTACTGCCTTTTTTCCAAGCAGGTCTTTAAAAGGTTTTGATTTTGATGGGCATGCGATTAGTTTTTTTCGATCGTGTCTGAATATGGTTTAGCGGAAGAGTAACAACAGACCTCGTGGACGCCATAGCACCTGGAAACATAAATATGTGTTAATTGAGAGAGAGAAAAAAGATCGAATCGTGGTAACCATTTGTCGCCTTTTGTGTCTCCTGTCCAATGTTTTTCTTTTAATAATGCTACAAAAACTATCTTGGGTTCCGTATGTTTGTGTTGGTGATTTGTAAGACTTTCCCTCGTTAACAGTGTAGATTCAATCACCTACAGTGATGGGGTTTTTTAAAATTATTTCATTAAAGTTGTTATACATCAAGAGTATTACCGTCTCGTGCGTTAAAGTGTTTCCCAGACGTATCCAACAGCGTTATAGACTCGGTGTCGTTAACATTGTGTTCGGTTAGAGCAATTAAAAAATACTAATATTGGATAAGACTACGTAACTGTTATAAAGGACACCAACTTAGATTCCCCTAGAATGGTGTTTCATAATAGACTACTTTACTGTTACAAAGGACACCAATTAAGATTCCCCTAGAATTGTGTTTGGTTTTCTTAATTCAAGAAAACTTATATTTCATAATAGACTGCTTTACTGTTACAAAGGACACCGTAGAATTGTGTTTGGTTCTCTCAAATAAAGAATACTAATATTGAACAACTCACTCGTATAAAAACAACTTTAATATACACTTGCTTTTATTTATGTCTACGTGTTTTATTCATAGTTTATATACCATCTTATTTTGATTTTTTGAAGTATCACCATCGATTAATACCAATAAATATACCGCATTTGTTTAAAACATGTTAAACTTCTTTGCTCAATTTACGGACAATTCCAGTGTAGAAAAGCAGAGCTATTTTCATAGCTTATTATTGGTAACTTAAGGTACATTGACAATCAATCCTACTTCTATGAATGTCGTTATAAAATCAACCCGGTCGATATCAAGGATTATATATATATACTGTTCCAACAAATGACAAGAATAGTTGTATAAAGGTTTACAAAATCTGACGTTTAAACCACTCTGTGAATCAGTCAAAAAATTTATAAGATTTTTTTTTTTTTTTTTTTTTGTTCATTCCGACATATAAAAGAATTCAACTAACTGTGAATCTTAAAAGTGGAATTTGTCAAAACAGAGTTTTAGATGTCTTGGGATTTTTACCTGAAGTTTGATTAAATTAAAGCGACAAGTCTTACTGTTTAGCCAACTAAAACAATCGGTTTAAATGTTCAACCAATTAAAAGCCTTGGTGTAATTCTGGTACGAATTTGAAATAAAACAGATCATTCACTCGTGGATTATTATCTCATTAAGTGGAAAGGACTGTACAGTCATTAACTCACCTTGGATTACCCGAATATCGACTTAAACAAAGCCTAGATCAAACTGTATCCAAAAGACTCATCTCGGATTACCTGTATATCGACTATAACGTAACCCAAACGGAAATTACAGATTATTCACTTCCGGTTTTAAAGATGGCTACCTTGGTTTTATTTATGCTTCTGTTGCTGTTGGTTGACCATGGAACACAAGCTGGCTCTAATCATGTAAGTAAATATTAGTTAATATTTTCTAGACAATTATGTAACAATGGAGTGGTATAATAATCTCCAAAAACTTCGCTAATATTTTCTAGACCATTATTATGTTTTAAGGGTTTTCTATTGTATGCTGAGCTTACCTGTATATCCTTAGTATTTTTATTTTTCTATTCTCATATTTGCTTTTATATGTAAATTGTAAAGCGCACTGGAACACAGTACTGTGGAAGTGGCGTTAAATAAATCCATAATAAATAAATAAATATTTCAAATGGGGCGCTATGGCTAACCCAAAAACTTAGCTAGTCTGTCCTCGATGGATGGATGGCACATCCTTAAAACTTATTTCCTCCGTTCTAGAACATCTTGTCTAACATCTTGTATGAGAAATCCGAAAAATCTATCCAAGACAAGTATGCCAGCTTAGTCAACCTGTCCTCGATGGGTGACGTGTTATCAATCTAGTACAAACTAGCCTTCAAATCATCACATAATACATTGACAGAAATTTTTAAAATACGAAGTTTTTTTTTATAAAACGGTCGTAACGTTGATTATAATTAAAATTTTGTTACTAGCGGTTCAATCTTTTTAAATGAAATGGAGTTAACCTCCTACTGTCCTTCCCCGGCTGAGTTAATTTAGATGGACATACGTCACACAGTGTGCTATGACAGAAATTTTGCCCGGACAGCGGCATTACGGTCTACTCTTATATCGAATTCCAACTGCCAAGGGATCTTTTACGTTGTCCTTTGCCAGATCCTTTGTCGTGAACCACTGACAAGGGAGATCCACGTCGGAAATCCCGATGAACTGTCTCGGGCAACATCGGAAGCAAATCCAAGATCTCCAGGTTAGCGAACCAAGGTCATGCTCACTAAAACGCAACTGGCATGCCTTGTTAGTAGTGTATTACTCGGGGCCCAACAAGATGTCAAAGTCAAAGATGTCATACATTGCATGATTTTAACCTTTTAAAGCATTATGGCGAAGAATTTAATAAGCCGCCTTTTACTGCCCCACGCATTTAATGCTATCAAATTATTATATCTTATTTAGAGATATTCATTTTTTTTTAATTCTAAAGAATTCATCAGATGCCGGAGACGGAGATCTCAGACGCGCTTTATCTAAATAAATCAACTATGAATACAGACGACTGGAGATTAAATTGGTTTAATTCAGTTGGTATATTACACTTTCTGATAGATCGTCATTCAACTAATATCATATTGTGGAGGGTTTATGTCGGCACTCAAATACAATCCTTTAGACCAATTGTGATTTTTAACGAGGGTCTAGACACCATCTTTGATCACATTATAATTGTCAGTTTGACTACTGGTTAGGGACCGGTTGACCGCGACGTTTATTGTGACAAAATCACACACTTTTGGTAATAAATAGCCTAATTAAAATTAGGGACTGGTTGTCCTTGACGTTTATTGTGATAAAATCACACAGTGTTGTTAATAATAGCCTAATTAAAACGTCCGTTTCTTGACATCTACATATATTAGTCCGGGCAAAATAACAGCCACTGTGTATTTATTCAATTGACTGACTGGTTGTTCGAGTGCAACGTTTTCACTCATCGACTGGTTGTTCGAACTCATGGTAAATGTAGTCTCAACTCAATCCACCTGTAAACATGTTTCCTTTCAACCAATCGCAAGACAAAGGAAATTCTACGTATGACCTTGACACGGTATATAAATGTAGCGCCATTTTGTCGAGGCTTTTGTCTACGATATCACCTTAGGTTGAAGTGAACGTAAAACCTTGGGAACGAACGTCAAGGTTTGTTGGTCTTTGGACGGATAGATCTATTTTTTAAGGCCACCTCCAGACTTGGTCAAGGTCGCTGAGATGTAAATAAGGTTAGGGCACGTGATTGTTGACAAGATTGTAGGTTAGGGTTAGGGTAAGAGTTGGCGCTAACCCTATTTACATATCGTGACTTTTGATCAAATCTGAAGGCGGCCTTAAGAATAGATCAAACCATGTTTGGAGCGGAAACAATATAGGCTGGTATAATCGTGAAATGAATGAAGGTACAAGTGGGGAGTGGTCGTTGCCATGCGACCAATGTTCAAATGGAACATGGTAAATGCGGTAGTGGTTGTTACCATACAACCAATCTGGTCCATTTGACAACTTTTACGAAACCTAGTCCAAAAAGCGTTTAGTATGTTGAAAACTGGTTCCTTACAAATTCGTTGGATTCAAAGTTTTGAGGCAGGAAGCCGGGGGGGGGGGGGGGCATCGTTTTATAAGTATTAAAAACATGCGTCTAATTTATAGAAAATCTGAATGTATCTGCTGTTAGTTTATTCTTTGTTCTGTGAAACATTTGGGATTTTGTGATCGTATATGTTTGTCACCGCGTCTGTTCGTCCGTCGGTCCGGCATCCAGCTAAAGTTAACATCCGACTGACTTGAAATTTATACACATTTAATGGTCGTAATAATTACCTCTAAAGTTATGGCAATTGGTTATTTTGAAAAATCCTGTTGGCGCTCTAGAGAATAAAGATTTTACACAGTGTTTAAGAGTACGAGGCGAAGAATCCGATTGATTTTCAAAAATTTACGATGATTACTGACAGGACTAGGGCCAGGGGCGTAAATGTGGGAGGGTGTGGCTTCTGACTGCGTCACTCGTACAGGGAGTATGTGCATCAGTCGGTCGCATTTTGGCTAAACACCCCCCCAAACAAAATCGTTATGTACGCCCCTGACTAGGGCCCTTGATCTCCTAAAATATCCTGTGGACGCTCTAGAGACGAAAGTTAATGTCCGATTGGCTTTAAATTTATACACAGAGTTTAAGGCCATGGGATCACGATGCCTTGATTTTAAATTTATAAATGGAGCGTAAAGAATTGAGACAAACAAGTCTATTGATTTTCAACAATTTCTAAAAACTTGAACAGCTAAATTCATGATATTATATGTTTTGTATATTAAATGTTATAATACTAAATGTTTTGTGTACTAAATGTTAGCATGTGGCAAAATTAGAAGCCAAACAAATTCTAATGATTCTCTGATAATTACTTAATGGGTTGTTACTCTGAATCAGATGTTAGTGTCTTGTAAATGTTTTCATTATATGCCACAATCCTTGTTGACTGTCCGGACGACATATCTTAGGACGTATGATCTTGCCTAGCAATCTATCTTTGTAAACGGCGCTGTGATCACGCGGGCTCCATGACTTATTTACACATCAAATTGCATCTATTGGTATATGGGATTGGTCTTATGGTGTATTTCGGGAATGTTAATACAAATGAAATGAAATGGGGTTTAACGTCCTACTGTTCTGCACCTAAACTGGGCTAAGGGCTAATAAAGACGGGCATACGCCATACAGTGTGCTATGAGGGAAATTTTGCCCGGGCAGCGGCACTGCGGCCTACTCTTATATCGAATTCCAACTGCCAAGGGATCTTTTACGTGCACGCCAATGTGTACACGGGACCTCGGTTTTTCGTCCCATCCGAACGACTAGACAGCTGTCCTTGTCAGGCCCTCCGTCCTGCATCACTGACAAGGGGAGAAACCACGCTGGAAAATCTGGATGAACTTTCTGGGCCAATGCAGGGATCGAACACCCGACCTCCAGGCTAGGAATGTTAATACACCAAGCCGATAAGAATGGATCTGGTGAGTTTGGGGTTATAACATGAATGGTTGATATTCATGGAAATGTCACTGGAAGTCGGACAAAATAAAAGAAAGGAAATTGTAGTCTAATTTGAATAAGGTTGAGGTACATTTATTATAACCTTGTTGGACTATCACACCGAATTACAGCTTGACTGTTGGTTATATCATGTCTTATTTAAACATACATTATGCAAGAGCTAAATCTGCCAATTGCAGGTCTTTCTTTAGGCTAAAGAAACTTATTTTCCCGTCTTTTCACGAACACGAGGGATTCGCCACTCACCATGATTTATATTCAATGGTAATCAATTTAAATATCCTTGTACGTATTGTTACATTGCGAGTAATTTGACAATACAATAACATATATATCATTACACCCCTCTATTCTCATGACAAGAAGAACAAAGTCTATGTCCTTCGTCAAATTATAAAACAGCATTAAGGACACGGACATAGTAATTTGCTGATTGAATCCATTGAGAATATTATTATTAAATCTTACACAACCGGTGTTCCTTCGCGCTTACAAAGGGGAAGAAGAATAGCTGTAATTTCATTAATGATAAGCTGGCTATTTCTAATGAAATACTTTCAAGATTTTTTCCAATTTTATAGCCGAGTCGCCTGACAGTTTGTCAATTTGACAAGATGTAAAGTATACTACAGCGACATGGTAAATTAGTGAAGAGAGTTTTTCCAATATCATCTGATTTGATACGTCTTATTTAAAAGTTGTTCTGCTAGACTGTTTCCGTCAGGGCACGTAGATGGCGGACGTCAGAGGAAGCAAGTAATATAGTTCTATTGCCTATATATATGTAGTTTTATTATCTATTTATAGTTTTACTATCATAAAACCCATCATTAATTAGCAGGGTGTTGTATGCCACATCAACGATAAATCTTAAAATCCATGAAAACAAAAAATCTCAGATTTAATGAAAACAAAAAATCTCAAATGTAATGAAAACAAAATATCACGAATTTAATGATAATAAAAAAACCCTCAAATTTAATGAAAAATAAAAAAAATCTTAAAATGAAGGAAAACAAAAGATCAGAAAATGAAGGAAAACAAAAATTCACAAAATCAGGGAAGACCAAAAAAATTTAAAATTAATAAAACTGGCAAAATCAAAATGAAAAGAAAATCTTAGAATTAATGAAAATGAAACAAACCAGCCAAGGTTGACTTTTCAATTTACTCTGTGTAAGGCGTTTATAGTACCATCGCTGTCGGTGATTAGTTACCACACAAAATCATTTTTTTTATGAAATTATTTATATTTTGGCGAGAGAGAGAGGGGAGTTAACGTCCACTCGAC